GGGGTCAGAGTTGGGGTTTGGATTAGTTGTGAGTTGGAGTTTGGAATTGATATTGAAGCTGGTATGGTTGGTGTTGAATTCAAGTTAGGTTAGGGTTAAGTTTAGGTTGTGGTTGGAGATGAGGTTGGGAGTTGTGGGGGTTTGAGGAAGGAGATGAAGGTAATGAGATTTAAGGCCATTTTACATGAGCAATGTTAGCAAAAGTGCTAATAAGTAAGCTAAATTACTTGTGAACAATTTTGCTGCCTACTGGCAGTGCACATAAATTTTTAAAATGATACAAGCAGAAAAAAATAGTATTGAGTTTATTTGGCATGATCCAACAGATTTTCATCAGGGCTGTTCCATGTCATGTTATCTTTAGATAGGCATACCATACTATGTAAAAATACCATACTTACAATGTTTATTATCTTCATATTCATTTAAAGTCATACAAGGCTGTTTTTTTTCTGGACAAAATTCCTTGTCATTTGGAGTCTGACACTTGATCTGCTGGGTGGTGTCTATGTTGAAATTCATCTCATGCGGTACCTGTAAAACAGTGTGTGTAAATTAGCAGGCATGTTTCCTACTCACACATTTGATGCCTCCAGAGATGTCAAAGCTGCATGACACTGGAAGATAGTATGCTGTCACGTCTCATACAAAATTTTGTGGACAGCATCTTCTATATTCCATTGAAATGCATGGCCTTGTGCGTCCTTCAATTAAACCAAGTGACAGAGTGATAAAGATGCTGCATTTATTTTTTGCTTGTGTAGAATGGCATTCAGATAGAGATAGATAGAAGTGGAGAAGATGAAGAAAAAAAAGATAGGATGAGAGAAGCAAAAGTAGAAAAGAAGAAGAAAAGATGAAAAGAGGAAGAAGAAGGAAAAGAAGAAAAAAAAATGGTGAAAATGAAGTGCTAAAAAAAAAAAAAAAAAAAAAAAAAAAATAGGTACAACATTAACATTTGTGGCTTGATTTCTGGCCAAAGCATGTTTTCTGTTTCCAGTGCATGCTCCAACTCTGTTTACACATTCTTTAGGGATTTTAGTGTTCTTGTCATTTTACATGAATCCCCTTTCTTATTAATCAGTAGAAAAGGAAACCAGCAAGAGTTAAGACAAAGAACATGAAATATCAAGATCATTTCTTGATTTATGAAATAGGAATCAGAAAAGAATTATGGAGTTCCTAGTATAGCAGCGTGGCAGTAGGGCGATGAAAGCAAGAAATAGAGTTCAGAAAAAGGGCTTCGATCTTGATTGACCACTTTACTCAAGAGAAGTTTTCTATCATAATTTCTTGTTTTTGGAACATATTAGAATCTTTATTTTTAGTCAAATTGGTCAAGAGAATGACAAAACTCATGAATGCCTGAACAAAGCTTCTTATTATTTTACTTAAAAGCTAAATGGGAGAAGTGATTATGACCAAAACTATATTCTTACTAAGGTCGTCTTTTTTGATTTAGTGTGTGGAGTTAGTATATTTCGAACCTACATTACTATATGATGTTACATTTTAAAATTTTAAATCATAGTATTCGTTTACTTTTGCATGATTCTATGTTTATTTGTAATTATATTTGATTTTATTATTATGATTAGTCTTATCATCATCGTATTATTATTGTTATTGTTATTTTTATTATTTTTATTGTTATTATTATTATTATTATTATTATTATTATTATTATTATTATTATTATTATTATTATTATTATTATTATTGCTATTCCCATTATTTTTTTCTGTCTCTAGAATAAGAAAAGCATATTGAGAGAAAAAAATTTGGTATTTGATATTGATCTGATATTTGTCTTACAAATTTCCAGGTGGACATTATTAGTGTTAGGCAACAGGTCATCAGCAATTTTAGGCATAAAATTTTATCTGTATCGGACTTTGGAAATGTTTAACTATTTCCTGAAGCCTTTCAAAAAAAAAAAAAAAAAAAAAAAAAAAAAAAAGGAGAAGAAAAAAATTGTGCTCAGCTTCTTTTTGGATACAGAGTCATTAACCTTCATCTCCCATTCGACAGTCGGCTGGAAGCTGGAGGGATGAAGACTTCTCGTGTGATAGAGACTGACCAAGTTGATGATATGGCCTATAAGTAAGGAATAATCAAAAGAAGAAGGCTAATATCTATGCAAATTGTCCCGAGGCAGACTAAGATGACAAATTATATTCAAGCAAATATTAATTTATTTGGCTTTGCAAATTTTAAAGCGAAACTTTCTGGCATCATGTCTTCATTTCATTACCATCTTGATTGACTCACACTCTTTTTGACCATCAGAAATTAATCTTTTACTTGAGAAATACAGCTTACTCATTCAAGACAGTTGATATGCAATACAAAATGTTTCTTTTTTGGTGTGCTTTACACAAAAAATCATTTTACAGTTGAAATTAATACTTTGGTGGCCAAATCTTTGATGGTCTGTGCATAAGTTCAAAACCTTGTAATGTTGAAGTATATGAAATGGATTTTTTTTATACATTTTTAA